AGACCGTGAGTGGCACATAGTGAGAACAGCCTGTCACCGTTCTCATTGGCCGATGCAGTGCCATGCCGACCGATGGCATCTGTCCACACTGATGCATTGCGCTGAACGTGCGCGTTGAAATCACCCAGTAGAAATAGTCGGTCGCCCTAGGCACAGACCGTATCACGGAGGATAGTTGAGTGTAAAATTGATCACGCGTGTCATCAGGATAACACATGGTCAGACCGTACGTGCTTATAAAAGTGGCAAAATTCCTTTTCCCGGCTCGTAGGCGAACAGTCATCAGTCGCGCATTGATGCCTGTTGGTTCACCCACGAGCTGGCCATGAAGGCGATCGGATATTGCAAATCCGACCCCATTTTTACATGGCGCTGAGGCGGCGTTGCCCACTCAGTAGAATGTGTAGCTAGCACCTGCTTCATGCAACTCACCTTGCTCAGCGAGCCTGACTTCCCTGAGCGCCACAATGTCTATGTGGCAGCGCACCAGTTTCATCGTGACCAGTCGCTCGGGGCGCTCACTCGAGTTCCGGTCCAGTAGTGTGCGCACGTTCAAGCAGCCGATGCTGAGTGCTAGGCGCGCAGGCCTACAATGGAACGTATGTTGGCGGTGGTGCTTCGGAGGTTTGCTTGAGGGATTCCACCCGGAGCCTTTGGCTCAAAAGCCTGATCCGAAAGACAGTGGGGAGAGGATGCAGCTCAGGAGTGTGACTGCAGAGACATATTGAGATCTGCTTGAAGTTTCTCGCACGCAGCCTTCGAAGATTTAGAGTAATGCATGTGTGTTTTCGACCGTGAAATGTTACACACCTGCGATCACGGCTGGACGCAGGAGGGTTTTGGCATTTTTGCAACAATCTTGCCAAAGACTGCATGGCTTGTGGCGGGATGTGGCAAACCATTGAGTACCCCAAGATGACATTTCAACGTCAGTGCCAATGCTTGTCGCTCGTGCTGTAAGCTACTTGAGCTGTAAGCCTATAACTCGTGGACATGTTGTCTCGCATGGCTAGGTTTAAAGGAAGAGGGAATCTTCTTAACTTCCGTAGTTGATGATGCCTGGACTAGGATACTGTCATGGTGCACCCGCCAGACAGGAGAACGACTCGGGTACTTAGCCAAACCATTTGATAACATGCACACCCGCAAGGCACCGGGTCTAACACATGGTCAGTTCACTGACTCACTTGGATTGGTGTCTCCAGACTCTTAGCTAGAAGAAGGATATATACATATATTAACCACCGGCATAACATTTGGCACGGTAACCCAAGGTACTATAACAGAAAATAAAAACAAATAGTACTGGTGTAATATCCTCCGAAATATCCGCCATTCATTTTTACGACGACCCATTTAATCCGCTATAGATTAGAAGCTTTGAATCATTTAACTTAGAAAGAGACAACTATTAGAATCGCGGGTGTAAGCGCGGACACTGCTGATATGAGTAAAAGGTCTAATTGAATATCTGAATCCTAAGATAAGTAGCGGAATTTGAAAAACAAATCAAACCAGAGGAACAATGGCTGACTGTGTGATGAAAAAAGACAAGTATATGGTTTCTGCAGGTGAACTACGTTCCTTGCCTTTAGGCGGGTATGGAAAGTGAAGTTGCTTGCAGCGTTTTTATCACAGTGTCATGAGTGGAACGTTGTATTTAATGAGAATAAACGCTGGGGAATTACATGACCCATAGGGTGTAAACTTATAGTCCTTTTTTGAAAAGGCCATGTACACTTTTGGCGGGTTGTACTCACATGTTAGCCAACTCTGCATCGCGCCAATGTGGCATCTAACCGGAATCCAAGCCGACTCGAAGCGTGAAGTATTTTCAAGTGCTTGTGAAAATCAGAGTAAAGGTCAGATGCAAAAGAAAGGAATTCTTTTCAGTTGCCGTTGTCGAACTCAAGCGATTAGACCACATGCATAAGATTAGTAATGTAGCGAATCAGGCTGAAGATCAGTGGCGATGTTTAATACAATAGTCCGCTAAATACATATGTAAATATGATTGGTGGCATCCGGTTCTAGAAGCACCTCTCAATACGCGCCCACGGAGAAAGCCACAATAAATCTTCACCTACGGAGGGCTTATGGGCTGCTTGCTTTACACTACACACGGCTTCATCAACAAAACCCTTGTTCAACGTAAAAAGGAAGAATAACACGGGGTAGCTTGTGAATGGGAGAGACCTTTATCAACGGAGCAGACCCACATTCCTTCAACTAACAGAAAAGAGGCGTTCTTGTCTACCTCAGTAGGAAATTATGTGTAACAGGCATACACAAGCTGTTGGCTGAGCCGTAGCCCAGTTCACACTGCGTGAAACCAAGGCCCCCTTCCTGACCCAATGAAACAGTCAGTCTCCTTTGACCGCAAACAGCCAGGAACGGGTTGGTCCAAAAAGGCCCGGCTGGTCGTTGCTGACGAAGGCGCCTGGATTTCTTCGTGCGACGAGGACCGTGGACTGAAATGTGGTGAGAGGTATGAAAACTCCCAAGCGCACCGTCTGGTCTGCAGCAAAGGGAAGGTCCTGTCAGCCTTTTTCCTGGACTAGCCAGTATTTTGGCAGCACAAGCAGCCCGCTCCGACGGCCCACCGACGATGCACTCTGGTTCACACGGTCAGCATAACTAATAACTAACCAAAGCCTGGAATCAGCGAACTCCGCTACACATCCCATCTTGAAAGCCTTTGATCACGCTAATGCAACTATTCGCACCCATCCTCACCGTCAGTTTTCCCCCACTAAGCACTACTGAAAACTTCCGTTCTTCAGCCTTCTAGGCGGAGGCCCTTGTAATGCACCGGAAAACACTCTGTATTTTGTAACATTGGATTTTACGGTTGTTTTAACCTTCAAAACGTCCACTTGTTTTACTGACTGCACATCCGTTGACACAAAGTGTTTTGGTGGGTAACTTGCTGCACCGTTTCTCGCTCTGGCTGATTCGCTTCCTATTTTTTAGCCTGCACCATATATATGTTGGGTTCACTCGCCTCCGACTTCTATACTGTCTAGTATTTGACACGTCTTACGTGTCAGTGCTTACCGAATAGTATACCACGCTCCGCCCAACAGCATCATTCGTCGGTGGAACAATTTAACATGTAAATTATCTGTAATCAAAACATGCATAGACATATATATATATTAGCAAGAAGGTTCAAAGTGTCCACCGTCTTGCTGCATACAGTGAAGAAATTGCCTGATGCAGTTGATCAGTACTTTCTCAACTGTCTCGTTCGTGATAGTGCGGCATTCGTTCACCAGGTTAGCTCTCATTTGCTGCGATGAATCCGACCCGCTTTTGTAAACCCTTCGTTACACATAGTCCCATATCAAACATTGCAGCCTATTCAAACCTGATGACCGCGCAGGCCACTCCGCTGGTCCTCTTCGGCCGATCCAACGGGGCCCGAATTTCTCGCTGGGGTACTCACGAACGTTTTGCGGGTAATGTGCAGTGCACCAGCGTGTTGCCACCGGATGATACTGCATACCCCATCCGTATAAATTGTGGAAGCACATAGGCTTGGAGCAGCTGGGTAAGATGACGCTTTGAAAAGTAAGACATACTTGCTAATAAACAACGTATCGAACACATTCCTTGAACAAAAAAATGATTCCAAGTTATTCTGACTTGTTAATCCAACCCAAAAGTCATGAGCTGTATGCTATTTTGAATTGTTAAAACCCTGTATGGTAGTGGGTTAGACCTAGTCTTAAAATGCTGTTATTCTGTCTCATGCAAATAAAAAGTGCCTCATCCGTAAAAATTACTGGGTGCATGCTCCTGTGATCAAAAACGCAATGGCAAAATGCATTCCGTTTCTCTGGAACGTTTGCTTTCAGTCCTTAACGTGAAATGCTTAACATCTACAAATAGGGAATTTACTTGTCTAAGAAAAAATGCGACTCCTTGACGAAGAGATCAGCATGTATTGCAGTGAATAATGTCCATGGCGAATATTTTACTATGTACAAAATTGGTGATTCGACAACCATTATTTGCCTGACCTTGTTGCCTGGGTTCTTGGTGATAATATATATCGGAATAGTCAAATTGTTTATCAGTTTTGGCTCGAACATTCACCCGTATTCGCTAAGGCCCGGAGAACAAAAGAAAAGTTGCGCTGAGGTATTTGCCTTCTTAGATGTATCATTTGCCAGTTACTATTGTCTGAGAGAAAGTATCAAACACCTCGCTTTTTCGATAAGCAACCACTAAGTACTTTAAACTCAGAAACCGAAGCGATCCAGCACTAAAATCGTAGTTGATCCTTACCAGACCAATGGTGCTGTGCACAGAAAGCAACATTGTTGATGAAAGCAGGTATTGGCTTTTCTAGCCAACACACTAACTACATATAAGCCTTTATTTTGTGATGTAGTAATCGCGTTATAAATAGCTAGTTGCTCTTAGTTGATCCTATAAACCTTGGAGAAATAAGACGGGTATTTCGAAAATAAGAGTTATTGTGCCTTGATTTGACCATCCGCAAACTTGGAAGAATTGCCGAACTCACTCGCGCAAGCGGTTTATCATTACTTAGCTTACTCGATCGTTTAAACAAATAGCGTATAAACAATGGTTTTAAGACCAATTCGGTGAACTCCAACGAGCTAGATTTAATACTGAACCGTCGCAACGATACACAACACATTTGTTAAGTACCATTATTAATAAATGATTTGGAGAGTTTAGATGTTTTAGGACGAAAACTGCTGGACAACAAACAAACAGCATGCCATTCAAGAACAAATATTTGCCTCTTTAAACGGTCCCCGTACTCTCCGCATAGAAATACACAATAGCTGGTAGTCGAGTGAAAAATACGTATGATTCAGGTAGTATATGACCCAAAACTAACCCATATCCGTTCGGGATGTGGCTTCATGGTTAAGAGGAGACCAGATGCGACATGTTCAGCATTGGCACAAAGCATATAGCGCGGAACATCAGGTGGCTTGTAATGATTCAACACACAAAAATGTGAGTGCAACTTGATTTATTTGGCATAAACGATGAATGACACAACGTTTCGTTGAAGTTGACTCCATTAGTGCTCTCTCGCACATTTTTCCATCCTCTCCATCGCTACAACGGGGAAGAGAAAATTAATGACGTAGGAAGACAACTATCCAACCTACCAGAATACATCACTTCACGAACGCTTCGACAGAGTTGCAATACTTTTTTGCCTAGTTCGTCTTGCTGCATCTTGTTGTATATCTTGGTTCGCAATTTAGGTCTAATGGCTTCCATACGATCCGACATCATACTCATAAATTGCTAATTGGTCATAACCGATCACAAACGCGAGTAAAGTCTTACTTCCATAGGCATGTCCATCATTTGCTCCATGCTCGGAGGTGGTCTAGAATACGAGACACAAGGTTTACACGATTTGAATCAACTCACCCATTCATGTTGGCCATGCCCACTGCAGTCAAAGCGGAGAACAACAGCAGCACACTGAAACCGCGCATGTTGATAAAGTTATTTGAACCGTCCGTTCAGCTAAGCCTGAATTATTGCCATGCATTATATATACAACCTCACTGCAACGCTGACCCGAACTCGAATAAACTGTTTTCCAGAACATTATTGGATAACACGAGCTGATCATAAAATTGTTGCTCATTTAGGTCATGTAATTTTAAGGTCGCGTTTGTTCATGGAGATCACACTACACACTAGCTGAGCTAAGTGAGATTGCGCACCTAAATTTGTTCACGTATTCGGTTGCTTGTATTCATTCTCTCGGAGGACAAACAGTTCCCGCGGTGTTTCGGAGTTTAGGGGCTTAGCTTTCTAATATCGTGACCTACCTCTTACTTCAATATTGGCACGTTACTTACCAAAGTTAATCCGCAAGACTTCATTGTTTTCGAGCATTACGCGACAGACTCCGATATGAAGTAAGTGATAATTTTGGGTCATTGTAGTTAGCGTCGATAGCTACAAAAGTTGACAGCCGGGAACTCTAAGCACTTCTAACATGTGATATCGTCGCTTACGACCCATCCGCCGTCTCGTCTGAACTGGTCTAACTCTAGCTGAATTGTGTAACCGGTTCCCATTAGTCCACCCTGAGCCACCTCCTCTCAGCTGCTGGCATTATAGCTGGGATGTGCGCACGTGCTTGGCAGTAAATCCCGAGAGGTAACTAAGACGGCTGGAATAGGCGACCGAACACGACTAACGCATGTAGCTGTGCAACAACGTTAATCAGTCAGTTGGTTAATTGCAATTGGATTATATCCACAAAGGTCGTTTACCAACCGGGAAAAGCACCAGACGATCTTTTCGCCCTATTTGGGCTGGTCAATGGTGCGCACTCCATCAGTCTCCTGTGAGATCAGAACCCATGGACGCTAGTGGCTAGCAACACTAGCCAACGCTTTACACCACTGAGCCAGGAGATGGATGTCCGACCCACCAAGAGTTGAAGTCTGACTGCGAAGTAGCCCGATTCATCCTTCATTACCATGCCGGTTACTGCCATGAAGAATGACAGTGATTGGTTTAAGAAAATAATCGATAATCTGTTTTGTAGCTTATAACAACGTTACGCTTGATCCACGATTTCCTTGAAGAGGACATAAGTCTTACTACCCTTAGCTGCACTAGCAATCATCAAATCTATAGATTCCACATCGAACTGTTTATCGGTATATTTCGAGCGGTCATTAGATATCAAATAATTTCACTAAATAGTAAGGTTTAAGAACATAGTCTGTGTCCATTCATGTCAAAATATTTCGCTTGTTCGAATCTTACATAACTTTGCAAACCAGACAAAATTCACACTTCAATCAAGCCGAATTATGAGACGTTTTTAGTTCGAGTCCACTAGCACTATTATCAGCGATTTCTTAACGTGTAACCCAAGTAGGTTTTACATTTTCTACTCTCTGCAAGTCCTAAGACCCTGTGCGAGAATGCATTAATAATACTGACGCACTGGATGGACACAGTCAAGTCTGGAATGACTCCCGTAGCAGGTTGCGTTCAAAGTAATTACGTCCCATCAATGCAAATCGACCTCAAGCATTCATCATGAATCCCCAATGACTTGTTCTCTCGACCGAAAATTGTGCTAAGAAGGTCAATGTTTAATAGTATATTGCCTCGAAAAATGCTGACGCTTGACTTGTCGCGTCGGATGATTGGTACATGGACATATTATGTTGTAGGCCTTAAAACAATTCTCTGTACAACCAGCTTCAGGTAAGGATAGCAGGTAGTCTAAAACAGGGCGTTAGGGAAGTCAACTGCATTCTCTACCCTTAATCCAGTGGATAACGGCCGGCCATGTTTATCCCATTCGAATAGCTGTCCACATTGCGATGGCTCGTCGCAATCCATTAATGAAATGTACGACTAAAATCGACCTAGGCACTCAGTAGATGCGCTGTTTCTACTCTGTTGACAATACTACTAGACATAAAGTTTGCTGTCCTGAATTTTAACTGCACACTACGACGAGTTTCGACCCTATCAGACCCCAACAAAGGTAGGTAACAAGTTTTGAACCTTAAACCATTGGGATAACGGCCGACGACCTCAACCATCTAGCCAGCGGATCACGACGAACAAGGTTTAATACAACGGTTAATGACTTATTAGAAGGCAATTTCGGTTGGCCCTCCTATCAGTCATTAACCATCGTGTCAAGCAATTCCCGTTGTGTCCCGGTGACCGAAGGAATATTTGTCCCGGTTATTATTGCAGTGGCCTAGAGTTAGGTGTCTGCTATCACCAACTGACGAGAGAACAGAAGGTCGAAACGCGATGTGGTTTGCATTGTTTTTGAGCAAGCAACACCCATTTTCCATCTGCTTCTGTTACTGTCCCATTGATCGAAGTGACTAAGTTTCACTTCAGTACGAATCATGGTCTACATTGGGCTCGAGTTATGCAATTCAATCACACAACATGAAATTCAAAACTGCCCTCCAATAAACCATCTATCCATGTGAACAAACTATTATTGCGGCTAACTGGCAATTGATATGCCAACTACTTTATGATAGGATGGATTAAACAATGTTGCATAGTGTACTTTTCCGGCAAGGAGCCAACCTCTTGATTCTATTCCTTCGTGAGGCAGTATTTTTGCTTGCCTGACTTTGTACAACGCCACGAAAGGGTGCCAGCCACTAAAGCTGTTGCTTTGTCTGAAGTTCAAACGGAAGCATAATGCGAAGCAGTGCAATTTGGAAGACATAAAATCCTGAGTCGAGCTCAAAACGATAGATCCTTGGGAGGAATTTAACGAAGGCATACATAACGGTTAGGTAAACTTTGCGACATTTCCATCTGTTACATGGCCAAGACAATTTCAGAGATTGTGCTCTCAGGTTGGTGTTACATTCGAACTCCAGCCAAAAGCAGTACACAATCTGCGCTATTTTTGTGATTCAGTGGTGAAACCACTCAGATGGGAGAAAAGGTTGAGTGCCATCTTGTGCTAAGTGTAAACTCACACATTGAACGAACGCAAATCCTAATGCCCAGATATCACATCAATGTGATGGATGGAAAGGCAAATCTGTCCTATTGCGCACTCGATCAGCAAGTTCAAGAGTGGCTTTAAGATCTTACTCAAGAGAAAGAGGTTTGCGGTGGAGGAGAACGAGAGACAGAGTGGAGGAATCAGTACTCATGTCGCCTCTCAAGCACACTGAATGAATACAACGGTTACTAAACGTTTCTATAGATTTCATACTTGCCTAACACAGGTTAAAATAAGTGACGCGTGTTCACACAAGGTGATTGCTATTTGATATTACCCCCTGAGTAGTATCCTTCATACACATTTGAAATGTTGTGAATGTGCCTGCGGGGGACACGCTCAAAGCATTTGCAACTTTGATATGAATCGTGTATCTTGCCTCAGGCATTCATGTTGAAATTTCTCCGAAATCAAAAAGGTTATCCTTAATACATGCGATAGACAGCAAGTCAAAGTATACTTTTTACCCACATACATGAACACATTTTCAACCCTTCACACTAACAATGCAAATTATAGTACAACAAAGTAGCAATGTGAATTTAAAATTCACAGCAACGCAACGTTTAAAGTGTATCTTCAATCAAGTATTCGGGCACGCAAACGGCGTTTTAATCCTGATAGTTAGCATAGTACGCGTAATAAGTAAGCAGAATGGAGTTTCGATGCGATGAGGTAAGCGGGCATAAAACTTTAAATTTGAACTTCGTGGAGGTAGGCTGTATACACCAGCTATGATAGTATATAAAAAGAGGGGGGTCGTTAAACTCCTGGGAGATAGTCTATAAATGCATGAATATGTTTGGTAAACATTACATCAATAGGTGGTTCTCTGCTTAGTCCAGAGAAACAACCAATAACTTCACGAACAGCTAAGAAGGACATATTCCTTCAGAATAAATCCGAAGGCACTAACAGGGTGGCAGTAAAACCAATATAGATTAATACGTGCAATTATAAACCCACAGAGAACGGAAAGGTTTTGTGTTGAAGGGCGTAAAATATGAACTACCTGACTTGTTACAAAGCTGTGTTGAAGTATGTAGACCAGGATAAAATGTGATAAAATTAAACCTGGGATAATTTATGATATAAGCACGAGACATATTTTGATCCGCAGCAATCATGGGAGGGAATGTCACATACAAGTGACCCAAGTCTGTCGAGATGTATACCTAAATTTAATTCAGGATATTTTGGAACCACTACTCTATGTAACCCATGCTAGAGTTTCGATGATTTCTGGGTGTTTTGTGTACTGATATTCAATGAGATAACGGGGTTTCAATGTAGGCAGAAAAGAGCAAGCTTTTTGGGATGGCTCCCTGTAAAACACCACTATTGGCTGGGAGTGCGGACATTTTCAGCTTCAATACTGCGAGAAGCATGTGCGATTTATGACGTCATTACGCACCATACTACGTTCATACAGATAAACACTATTTTCGGACGGAATGTCAGTCAGTACTGATCTATCCTGGCTCCTAAATGCGTTGGTATAACCGACAGATAGGAGCCATACGTTCTTGCATCTATGATATAACGCGAACGCAGTGGAGTACATCAGATACAAAAG